AACTTAATTTTAGCGGCAGAAAAAAACAGATTTCTCTTAAACCTGGGTAAGAATATAAAAATAGTTTTCTGAATATGAAACGATATTTCTTTGTCTATCAAAATAAGTTAAAACCTTCATGACGCGACAACTTTTTTTAGGGGCCCAAACGCCCATAGAAAATGGGCATTGTCCTTTAGATTGATTCGATAGGCATTTCATCAAAATCGGTTCAATACCTTAATTTATATATGTATTAAAAATAATCTAAAACAACTCTACCCTGCAAATAAATAAAATGTATATTTTGATTTTCGGTGACACATTGCACTGTAAGTACATAAAGAATTCCAAACTATATTTAGTAAACAAAATACTTCATCTTCCTCCTTCCTCGTATTCCTCAGTTTTTTTTCCCCCAACCTATGCTGATAGCCTTGAGAGGCTATTTCAGCTTCTCCTTGTCGTGTAGGTGAGCTCACGGGGCTCAAACCGGGAGTGTTGCTACCACTGACACTAGTAAAAGCAATGCTTTGCAGAATCTGCCACCGGATCGGAAACTCGACCCACTGAGAAGATCCGGCGAGAATCTTAGTGGGCTTTCCGTAGTGCTGAAGGTCGTGATTTTTACGGAGCATTTTGCTCGGACTATGTTCCTCCATTCTTTCCTGGCCTCTTCGCAGTGAATAGCGATATTGATGCTGGATTCCAATGTTGTCTTAATTGGATCGAACCAGCGCATATGACTACTTGGCTTGGCTTCTTAGCCTCTCGCAACGTGACCGAAAAACTCGAAAATCCTACATAGGCAAGTGGAAAGTCTTTATGGAGACGTCTTTTTGAAGTCGTCGTGGCCCAAAGGATAAGACGTCTGGTGCATTCGTTCCTAGCAATGCACCGGTGTTCGAATCCCGCAGGCGGGTTCCAATTTTTCTAATGAAATACGTACTTTTCAAATGTTGATTGACTTCCACGGTGAAGGAATAACATCGTGTAATAAAAACCAAACCCGCAAAATTATAGTTTGCGTAATTACTGGTGGCAGGACCTCTTATGAGTCCACATGGATAAGTGCCACTACCCTGCCTATTTCTGCCGTGAAGCAGTAATGCGTTTCGGTTTGAAGGGTGGAGCAGACGTTGTAACTATACTGAGAACGTAGAACTTATATCTCAAGGTGGGTGGCGCATTTACGTTGTAGATGTCTATGAGCTCCAGTAACCACTTAACACCAGGTGGGCTGTGAGCTCGTCCACCCATCTAAACAATAAATAAAAAACCTAGTTAATCCAGGATTGATGCGTTGGTCCGATGCGCCGTCCAGGGAATTCGCAGCAACAAAATACCTAAAGATTAAGAACAGATACTTAAATAATTAACCAAAATCCAAAGACAGAATGTGAACTGAAACACCCACAACCTAACAGCCCTGTAATTATTAAAATCGATTCGCGACCATCGACTCGTGTGCTAGGACCAGAACGTCTTGACACTTCACCGCTTTGATGGAGAGCTTTCGCACGGTTCGTCTGCGAATGGTGGTATCGGTAATTTGAGGAGGGAGCCGGCATGCATTATGTAGTGGCAATCAATGGTGTCGGCGATTGTGTTGTGATGGATGTGTGAAGTTGAATCACGAATGAACCACACGCTCTATTTAGACTTAAGTAATTTAATGGATTTAGTATAATTTTTTTTTACTTTATTCGAATTGAAAAAAACAATAACGAGTCATATCGTGGGTATGTGCCGTATAACATGGAAAATATTTATCAACCATGATAGGTATCTGTTTTCAATAGCTATTCTCCAGGTCATTCAATCCCATTTCTGTAGGATAGCTGTCGGAGCACCGCGGTTTGTGTCGACCTTCACGACTGTCTAAATTTAGCACATATACATAAGTATCTTAAGGTAGCGTCAGAACGATACTTCGACAAAACGACGCGACACTCTTATCGTGGCGCCTGCTATTACTCATCCGATCCAGGCGACGGGACAACGCAATGCTGTCGTCGCCCGAAACATGACCTCATCGCGAACTGACCCATAGACACAGTCCACTGAGCTTCTCGTCGGATCTTCTCAGTGAGTCGCGATTCCGATTCAGATGCAGCGAAGCACTGCTCTTGCTAGAGCTAATGTTAGCAAATTCTGTCAAGTTAAGTCCGTGATCTCACCTACCCCTCCGCGCGATGTTGGAATAGGCCCTTAGGCTACCAGCAAATTGGTAGGTAAAAAGAAGTGCGTGTAAATAGCAGAGCACTTTTATGTGCTTTATTAATCTCTCCATACTTATTATGGTAAAAGCGCAAACCACACCCAGCATACATGATGAAGTATGGAATTTCAATTTTAAAACCATTAGCATAAGTGCTCAATATAGTTTCAGTAAAAGCCATAGCTTTCAAAACCACCGGCTTGTTCATCGGACAGATTATGAAAGCGGTCCAAGCTTTATTTAGCTTTTATCATATTAAAATCAAATGTAAAGATATTCTATCTGGTTTATTTCATCTGAATTCTTGAGTACATTCTTGAATGAAACGAATGAAATGAAAAATGAATTAAATGAATGAATTCTTGGATTCACTTACCGTATTACTATTAAAAATCACGCGCTCCGATCTGAAGCGTTGAAGTGTTAATCTTAATTGCACTAAATGAGTAGGCAAGCTCACAGCCTACCTGTTATTAGGTGTGCTAATTTGATACATCGGCTACATATATATACATGTGAACGGAACGTATGAAAAGAGTGTGGAACGGAGTGTTAAGATGTGAGGGAGAGAAAACGAAGAGAAAAAGAGAAAAGTAAGATGGCGTAAAAAAGATGTCAGTTAATTTTTTATTATAATGACAGAGAAGATTTTGGAAGAGAAACATAAAAGTGCAACAGTGGGATAATTTTAGTTTATGCGCCACGATCCCAATATCTCAATAATCCCAATCTACATATTATGTACATATCACAATCCTGCAATGTTCCGAGTTCAACATTAACTTTATACATTTTTCACAGTTTCATATTTATTAAGCGATTTAAAAAAAATCGTGAAGATTACTTATCGTACTTAACTTACGTCAGTACTTACTTACCTATAGATTAAGTACCGACTTATTTCGTGATGTACATTTATCAAATATATGTACATTATATTACTTATATATATTTTATAGAGAAATCGGTACGGTAGTACGTCCCTATACACACCCCTCAGTATTACAACACTAGGTAGGTGTCTTATTCTTTAAGCGAGGAATAATTATTCTATCAATGCGTCGGTTGAGGGTAATGCTTAGAGTGATTTTCTTCTCTGGAGAGTATATTGTACAACTCGGATTATTCAGTAGTAGACTTCAAGAAACAAACAATGTATTCTAATAGCAATAGTTTATTCGAAAAAGTACTTTGGGTATCGTTGTGACACAGTTTCTTGTGGTCTACGCGACGGCTCATTGAGAAGTTAATTCGGTCAATGCATCGGATCCCGAATTTGTCGCTTAAGACAGCGAATTTGACGAAAAAACGCCAGATTTATGGATGGAAAACTCTTGGATAAATGCGCCTTCGCACGAGACCATCATTGTGAACGAATTTTTGACCTTATTGAAAAGATATAACTATATAACAGCCGTATTATTTATTTCAAACCCAAATTACTACTTCGTGACACCCATTTTCATTCGGTAGAAGACATAAAGGAGAATTCGCGGCGAGAACTGAACTCAATTCTGGAAAAAGTGCTTAAAAATGTTATGATGATCGTATCGTTTCTGAAGGAACACACTTGGTGATGAAATAAATTTGTGTTATTGATCTATTTCTGGTACATACATTTGGAGCTTACCATAGCACGCTGAGCGACTATAAGCTTACGGACCAGCCTCACGATCCATGTCCACGTTTCAGCGCCATTTGTCATGACCATATGCCATCCATGTTTTGTGAAGCATTAATGCATTCTAACTTGAAAGGTGGGGCAACCGTTGTATTGTACTATAGAACTGAAACTTAGAACTTATGTCTCGAGGTGAGTATACATTTACGTTGCTGATGTCTATGAGCTCCGGTAAACAATAAAATGAAGAGTGATCGAAGAACTACATGAGGGGTCACTATCGATTCCCTTCACAATCGACCCCTATTTATCGATCGAATGACTTGCTTACGAATCCAACACTGTTTCTTGTATTTAGTTTCTAGGAGCTTTCATAATAATCTAACCTAAACTTTAATTGTACTAAAGCGATGTAGGACACAAATATTTCTGATCAATATTAATCCTTTACAATTCTTTGACTATTGGTTCGATAGAAAAGGGGTCAGGTTATAATGGCGTAGGTAATTTTCTATGTAAGCATTGTTGGGTTGCAATACTGCGACTAATTGATTTTGATCATGGAGAATTAATTTTATGTCATTTGGTAATATATTCTAAATCATCAGTAGTTTTCATTAAAAATGAAATTCAATATGTGGAATTCCGTAAACTAAGAACTTATGACAATATTACAGCAGGAGGCATAAGTTTGGCTATGCCCTTGGTATTGCTGATGTTCATGATTGACCTGCGCCTTCTCTCAAGTGGGACGTTTGCTCGTCTCCCTATAAACACGATATTTTTAGAATCTGAAAAAAGTCCTCAGAACGACACTGGTTCATTCCCCATTAGCAATATTCATGTGAAGTCATTAATTATCAATCAATTTGGAAAATGTTGTTTTACATAACAATACCTTTGTGAATTAAGGTGAGTGGCGACAGTCACTTTGTGACTACTATATAATTCGGTTCGTTTGTACCGTGAGCTCTTATGCCCAAAAGAGAACACGAAAAATTTGCGTTACGACTTGTTAGACTTGGGTGGAAAAACAGAGAATATTCATCTCTCATACCACTTCTTTACCTTTCTTATCTTTTATAAATAAAAAAGTATCAAAACTGTTTCCTCGCACACCTCGAAGCGACGTTGGTGTTGGAAAAAGTTCCACTTTGAAAATGAAAGCATTAACAAGGTTGGACAGTAACACGAGCGATGCGGTCGCGCCCGCACGGCGACCCGCCTCTATACCGTTCACGACATTGACGTGCTATTAACAAAATAAACGGACATTTTCACGGGTAGGGGTATGTTTTAGATAGAACTTGTTTTTATTTTCTTCAAATCATTGCCTCACGAAATTGTAAATGCCAGAAAAAGAAAATTATATAGGCTTCAAACCGGCGTAAAAAAAACTATTACGTGCGATCTAAACACTTGTTTATTGTAAATCAATAGACTGATCTTTCTGATGCGAAAGAAAGGTTGCAAACAAAGGTCCAATGTCCAAAGACAAAAAAATCAAAAAAACAAAATCTTTTAGTGCCAAATTTGTTTAAAGACCTAAAACCCCGAGGTTGGGTCAGAGGACTTCAACAGTACCTATTTGGTTATCTAGATCGGTCTTGGGCTATGTACTTTTCTTCGGACCAGATTAGCGTGATTATCTTCATTTCCGCTGCTACAGTGCGCCGCCAGATATGCTTGGATCGGCCTATTTTCCGCTTGCCCTGGGATCCCACTCCAGCTCTTGCCTCGGGATGTGTATGGAATGTCTCCTCAGAGTGTGGCCTATCTATGTTAATTTGCAACGCATGAACTGCTTGTGAACTGTCATTTTCTGACACGCCTCCCACAGGCAGCTCGTTGGCGATTTTCTTATCCAGAAAACGCTAAGTATTTGCCCCAAGCAGAGTTTGATGAAAATCTGAATCGGCTGTGTGATCTTTTTAGTTAGCTTTCATTTTGGTGCCCAATATTAGTCTAACACTGCTACCTGTTGCTATGATACCGTCAAAAACACTTTTTTTACCCCGACGGTAATATTTGTATGACCACTGGTGGTTATTTTTCCTTTCCCTCCAAAATGTTTCTACAATGTCATTATTACGAAACCGAAGATTTTTTCTTCCATATGCTTACGTAAGGTTATTAGCTTATAAACGTTTTAATTTGAAATGGGGAGTGCTCTGAGGATTTTTCGGATCCCGACATATCAATATTACGATTGCAAAACTGGCCATCGGATTCCCAACTAGCTGAAAAACGCGTTTCCAGAAATAAATTTTGCAATCAGCCATCCAATTCTATGATGAACTATAATTGTGGTCGAAGCTTGCATTGGGGATTTCCGGCCTTTAAAAGCCATTAATCTAGATAACCTTTATAATAGCTGCCTAGAAATAATATTTATGTATATAGGTATATAAATGTCCGAATACGTTTTGTTTCTTTAATATCGGGACTCGGAAAGTCAAGTTTTGAAGATTAATGATATTTGTGTGTCACAGTCCAGTTGTTATGCAAAATAGTTGAGGTATTCTACATAATTATGTCTTTTGTTCTTGTAGGCATTAAGCTGAGTAGCGGCAGAATAGCCAGGGATGTGATATTCACCCGTGCTTACTGACAAGATGCCGTGCCACTAGTAAACATTACTTTTTTATAAAGCAACAGTATTCTTTAATCGTGTATGCAGTTAGTGAAAACGTTTAAAAGTGTAATAGTATGTGAAATGCGTACGTATTGTTTTTGATATATTGGTACGGAATCTGAATTCCGGTTTGGTCGGAAAGTCCATCACTCGATGCAATTACACTAAGAGCTTACCGTACTCGTCGAACTCGACAAAGAGCTCGACGTGCAATCTAACCCATCCATCAGCCCGCTGAGTTTCTTGTCGGATCTTCTCAGCTGGTCGCGAATCCGATTCGGTAGTAGATTCATTCGCGAAGTAGCTGCTCTTGAGTTATCAGATCTCCTTCTGAGATGCTCTGGCAGCTGTTAGCAAATCCCACCCGTCCTGGCTGAGTCATTGCTCGCCCACCTGTCCTGGTGAAATTGAAAAGGCCTCTGGGCACCAGTAATCTTTCAATCCTAAAAAAAAACAAAGAGCTTTTTTTTATGTGCTCGCTTGTAGCTTAAGGGGTAATTCCAAATACGCGCCGATGGGTAGTTGAGCTTACGGGTTCAGCCTGAGCTAATTTGCTAACACTAGCCCTAGCAAGAGCAGTGCTTTGCGGAATCTACCACCGGATCGTAATTGTGACCCACTGTGAAGTTCCGGCGAGAAATTCAGTGGGCTGTATCTGGGATGGGATGTAATGGGATCGCCTCTACCCACTAATCCTTCCAGCCTCTAACACTGTGAACGTTGTGATTATATTCCGTTGTACCTAACAAATCAAATCTATTTATATAGTATTTTTACTTCGGATTTCATTCGTCGTTGACATAATTACATATATAATGCTATTATCTAGAACTATTATCTTATAGTTGACCCTAGTGCACTGGGTGGCGAATGTAATGTAAATAAAAATCATTAAAATACACACCCTGTAGATATAAAACCACGATTTATTGATCCTCTTGCTTATGCAATAGCTTGCAATTGCCTTCTTTTCTCCTCTCTATGAGTTTATAACGTTTTTATTTTATTTTGCGTCATGCTTTGTTCAGTTGGATTGAAAATTTTCTCTCCTTGATTGGCTTCATCGACGTTTGAGAGAGAATTTTATTGTAATACCAACGAGCTATATTTGGTGCGCGAATCAAGAAATGGGTGCATTCCCTGAGGCAGCGACTTGGCGGGGGCATCAGCTTGGCTCTGCCCCTGGCATTGCTGAAGTCCATGGGCCACGGTAACAACTCACCATCAGATGGGTTGTATTCTCGTCTGCCTACAAGGGCAATAAAAAAAAAGGCAATAGTCGCGGCTAAGCTGTATAGGCTATATAGTATGTATCTATCAGTCCTTATATGATTATTTTTGCGAATCATTTTGAAGCCAAATGCTACGTCAAAGGCCGAACTGGGTCATCGCGGAGCAACTGGCGGTATTCCCACGGCAAAGAATTCTGACCCCGGCGTCATTTATAATCGACTATGACAGATTTCGCGTTTGTTTGCGAAAATTTAGGCAAGCGAATATAGGTCGACTTTGCCTACGCTGCCCACGCACACATTGGCCTGATGTTTACGTTTTCCTATGTACCTTGTGACCTTATTGTCATAAACACATCAGTGGGAACCTAGTCCGTCGCTATAGCCATCGGCCTTTGACACAATCCCTACATTCACAAGGGCGATTAACATTTAATAGAGCAAATATCCTTGAATAAGTACTATAATTGCTCAGCTTGTTATGTTGAAGGGCGCGATAGCCGTTATGTGATGGTGCACTTGGTATCCGGTGATTGCTGGACCTGAATAAAAAACTAAGTTTTAAAGAAGGTTCTAGATGAAATTTCTACGTTTCCAATCAAAAAGTCTACCCTATTCGCATTGCTCTAGAATTCAAAATTGACTTGACGCAATGCTAATAAAATATATTTGCTCTGAGCAGCTATTAAGGGCTCAACGGAGTTAATGACATTTCGCTACCCGACGTGAGGACGCGTACTGCATCCTCCGGTCCAGAACGCGTGACAAATCGCGTTAGAATACTGACAGAATTACGATACCTACGTACCTACGCGAATTCGTACCTGGAGATTTTTTTTTTATTGCTTAGATGGGTGGACGAGCTCACAGACCACCTGGTGTTATGTAGTTACCGAAGTCCATAGACATCTACAACGTAAATGCGCCACCCACCTTGAGATATGAGTTCTATGGTCTCGGTATAGTTACAACGGCTGCTCCACCCTTCAAACGAAACTCATTACTGCTTCACGGCAGAAATAGGTGTGGTGGTGGTACCTACCCGTGCGGACTCACAAGAGGTCCTACCACCAGTATTACAAGAGGTCCTACCACCAGTAATCACGAGAATCACGCAGAATTATACATATATTTTGAAAATACCACATTTCCACGATACTTTTTCTTTATTGCGGTTGTCGCTGGTGAAGTTTCGCACTTAACTGCGGCGTTTAAATAGGCGCTGCAACTTCGTGGGAGATTTAGCTCTTCTTCTTCCTTGTCTCCACCTTATCCCGCTAGGTGAGGTCGTCACAGTAGGAGTGGGTAATATTGGTTTTGCCGCGTATCGAATCGTATCTATATATCGAGGATCAATATCGGATATTGAATCTATATATTTTCTGAATCTATATATTGATGGATGCTAGTAGATTTTCTCGATTCATGATATTTGAGATTTGAAACGATACGCTGATATAATATCGTAGTAAATATAGATTTAAGTCAACGTTATACGGTTGGTTTTCTGATATCAATTTATAATATGATCTTAAAGTAATAAAAAGAACATGAAAATAAAAATATCAAACAAACTTTCCTTCATGCTTTTACCAGGCTTAGGACTGGCTACATTATTTTCAGTTTTTAGTATTTTGTGTCTTAATTTAAAATTACAAAATATACCAAAAGAGTGTAGATTTCGAAAGTTTAATACAAACACAAGAAATAAACTCAATTATTTGGATTCAACTAAAAATAGAAAAATGTGTACTTTAAAAATCAAACACAAAAAACTTTTAAGTACTTATAAACACTTGTCCAAAAATTCTAGTTCAAGGTCAAAGCGCGTGAAATTAAATTCAACGATGCAAATAGGCTATACTGCATTCAAGTTAGGGTCGAAAGTTGAAACTTCTTTCCTTAATTGTATCCTGCTGATACGCTAAGAATAATCTACAGACATATGGACTTAAATATAAGGTTTACAATTGTATGGATAATGCCTGTTTCTGTTTCATTCATCACATGATATCGTGCGCTCACTCACTCTGGCCGATTCGATACGAACCAAACGAATATTGCTGATATTAACGAATCGGTACGATATGCCGATGCGCATCACATCGAGCAATATCGTGTATCGGCTGATATCGAAATATAGATTTCGATTCACGAATCGGTCCGATATGGCGATGCGCATTACATCGAGCAATATCGTGTATCGGCTGATATCGATATATAGATTTCGTGCGGGGCGATATCGGATTCAACGATATTGCTGCGATATATAGATATTGAATCTATATACGATTTATATCACCCACTCCTACGTCACAGCGAATTTTCACTCATCACTCTCAACACTCACTCCTGCCTCTCTCATATCGTCATTCACACACTCCATCCATGTCTTCTTTGCTCGACCTCTTCCCCCTCTACCTTGCACCACCATTTCCATACATCTCCTAATTATATGCGAAATAATATAATATTGATAATATTATAATATAAATAACAAGCTCTAAAATATAATATTAACCCCAAGTAAAAGTGATTTGTTTGATAATTTTCATTTAAGAAACATAAAAACGACTTCTTCGATTATTTCGTTACTGGGAACCTTAGTCAGACCTGTCGCACCGTCACGCAATGACAACGAATATTTTAATGAAAAAGAGAAAGTAGCTTAATTTAATTAGTTTTCTAATGAACTTTAAGAAGACGCCGGTTCATTGGTTCATAACAATAGCAAATGCGGTTGATATCGATTTTATAGATTTGAATAATAGTGTGAAGGATTTAAATATATGTACCTGCTTTTCACTTATTTTGGGTTAACATGTTTGATTGATTTAGTTGATACGTCATCAGGATAGTATACCTGTAATTTTTAAAATTTTAAATTTCCCAGTCTGAGTGTTTCTTACACGAATTTCTATCTCTATGAGGGACATCCGAATATACACTTACAGTTCTTAACATCCTAGTGTTCTTCTGCTCAAGCTATAGTAAGACATTGATCGATCTGTCTACCGCCATTAACTTTAGGCTAAGTGTTTTGGTATGTCGTAGAGGTTTGATATTTTTCAGATTCCCTCATTCCTAAGCCGAACACGAAGGGAAATTCCAAGCGTAGCTTATTCCATAGCTTTTTGTACGACTTTTGCATCTTTCAACCTTCAGCTCCATATACTAAGACAGGCAGAATACGTTTATTGGGACCTCTACTTTTTAAATTATAATATTACAAAGACAGCGGATAATACGATGGAAATTGAAATTTTCTGCAGCGATTTTCAAAATATTTTTTTTGGTTTCAAAGACAGATTAACATACGGCCCACTGATTGAGAGAGATTCCACACTGCCTCAGGCACTACCGATATATATCAGCGACCATGATTACTTTCCATCAGGTGGACCGTATGCTTGCCTGTCTAATAGAGTTTAATTGTATCCACAATAGTTAACAGCTCAAGCAACAATCAAAAATTGGATTAACAAAATCAAGCTTCGTCAAAATAAAATGCTCAAACAACAAACAAGGATATAAAAAAACAATCAACATGGGTTGTGGTTCTTCCGGCAACGTGGTTCCAAGTCAAGACGACTCTACTAATGACCAAGGGAAGATGGTGAACGGTAACGGTCACCATGACGACGACGATCTGCCTACCGTCGTCCTACCCGAATCGCCGATCAAGCCTAAGCCTCGTAAGTATTTCACTGCCTAATGTACATTTTAAGCGTTGCATATATTTTTTAAGGAACTTAACATCTCTCAAACGCTGTCGTCAACAGTGCAATCCAGGATTCCCCGATATTTCGGACACCTATCGCGACGGCCAGCAGAGTCTATCGAGAAACTTGTTGTTCAGGGTAGGGTCGATGGCAAAAGATCTCGTGGACAAAGGTCCATGCGCCCGTGAAAATACCCATGTGAAAATCCTTACTAAAACCCCTTTTTACGAGTGCATGCGCCAAGCCTCAGTTCACCAACTATGGAGAACAGTGTCAAGACTTTAATAAGTAAGAATTCTACACGACCACGACTGCTCTGTCCAGAGTAACCGACTATGATGATGATGATATTTTTAATAGTAGATTTCTTTATTGTTATTTTTCGGCTTAAAATATGTTCTACCATATCAGTAATTTGGGATTATTAGATCAGGAAGTACAATGAGCCAGGGTAGTGATGGACATCAGGTTTATGTCTAATTTGGAATGATTATCCAAAACATTTAATATACGTAATCATAAATATTAAGTCTACAAACTTATTTGAGCTAAACCATCTCGTCTCTTATAATTCCAGCAATAGCTTTTGAGATTCCAGTAGAAGAGTTCGACAGCAGCCGTCGGTCGTCAAACACGCCTCCAGCGCACCTACAACGGCTGCTTCAGCCGCCGCAGCCAGACATCACCCTTCCTGATATAGAAGAGAAACTCGCTGTGGCTGAACAAAGAAGACTATCTGTAATTAATATTTTTATTGCATATATGGGTGGACGAGCTCATGGCCCACCTCGTGTTAAGTGGTTACCGAAACCCATAGACATCTTCAACGTAAAAGCCGCCACCCACCTTGAGATATGAGTTCTAAGTTCTCAGTATAGTTATAACGGCTGCCCCACCCTTCAAACCGAAACGCATTACTGCTTCACGGCAGGTACAGGCAGGGTGGTATTACGTGCCCGTGCGGACTCACAAGAGGTCCTACCACCAGTATTACATCCTTATATATAACACTTATATACCAGTAACTGAATAAAGGACTAGAAAGAAGAGAGAATCTATTATAACTTGACCCGGTTGAAGCGACACATTGGAGCTGTGAAGAGGTATATTAGAGCTGAACCCGATTCCCTTAGTGAGAACTCGGAAGAGGCAGGGACTGCGGGTAATTCTAGTTCGTCCAAATTAGCGCCACCGCCCAACGCGCCACCGGACCGGCGGTCAACATGAAAAGCATTCAACGTACCCAAATTATAATGTCCTTTATTGCTGATGGGAAGGTGCCTTGTGAGCCCGCACGTGTAGGTACCACTACTCTGCCTAGTTCTGACGTGAAGCAGTAATACGTTTCGTTTTGAAGGGTGCAATAGCCTTTGTACTGTAAAAACTGCGACTTATAACTCATGTGTCAAAGTGGGTGGTGACATTTACTTACATTCTTGATGTATATGGATTCATGTAACCAATTAAGATCAGGAAAGTCGGGAGCGCTATCTTTCGATTTTTCTTTTCAGTTACTCCAACAGAGAGCCGCTTCAGCACAGAAGAGGACACAGAAGATGCTGCGCTCAGCTAATACTGTGGACGCAACTAAAACTGAACTGGTGAGTACTTAAATATCCATATCACCATTCTATGGAGGTCAGACATGGATGCTCCTGTGTGCTATTATAAAAGATTCATAACTTCTTAACTACATTGGTATAGCTAGTGTCATGTTTCTGAGTCATAAGGTGTAATTTTAAACCCTGGTTGGGTAGTAACTTGGTGAAACTTAAAAGCCCTCTGTCGGTTAACCACCAGAGTGTCGAATCTCCATACTGAGACGAAAGTATCCTGCAAATCTGAATGCATTCTAGGTTTCTAAATGAGTGGCGCATTAACGTTGTACATGTCCATGGGCTCCAGTAACCACTTAACACCAGGTGGGCTGTGAGCTCGTCCACCCACCTAAGCAATAAAAAATAAAAAAACATGCTTCTAGCCAGAAACAAGCAGGATATGCCTTACCACCAGTACTGTCTAAAATTATCCTTATAATTTTGTTTTCAGGAGGCCACGGACATCAACAAACACGTCACGAACACTCTGACCATTCCTCCAGAGCCTGGTCTGCTCGAAGACAAGACCATCAGATAAACAAAAATCACTTGACCATAATTTTTACAATAAGTCAGAGTTCTACTTAATTTTTTTTCTATTCGTGTGCAATACATATTCCTTGATTAAATCAATATTAAATTAACATTTATATTATTTTAACGAATTCTATTAATATCTTTCGTGTACTCCATTGTGGTACAGCGATATCAAATTTTATTGGAAATGTCTGCGCCCATCGATTCAGAGGAATCCAGTGAACAAATAAGAAAGTGCCCTTCCTTAAATTGCGATTTCTGAAATCTCGACCTTAAGAAAAAACCGACACCATCGATGAAGGGACCAGACTCTTAAAACGACTGTGGAAGCTACCACGATTTGGACGTCCGTTGTTGCCCATATAACAACAGGGTTTTGGAGTTTATGGATGTCTTCTCAAAATAAATACACTTTTGTACCTTTGAATCGGATAGTCAATTACTTTTTTGTTAGCTTTGTAGGTTGACGAGCATATGGCCCGCCTGATAGTGATGGTTTGAACTGATTGGTTATCATCGCTAAAGGACGACAGCAATGTCAGGGGCACAACCACAAAGTGTCCCTGATGAGTCCATTTGAAAATATGTAATAATAATAGGAGTTCATTTCTTAAAATGAAAGTTAGTGAGGCTGATGATTGATATACAAATAAATAGTTAACAGCCAAAACACCGCTTAATAAAAGATCCCAATAAACCAAAAGATTTCAGAAATGATGATATAAGAACAACTACAAAATGAAAGGGTATTTTCGATGTGAGCGAAACATACGATGGTTTTCCTAAAACGTACATGCTGAAACCGTTCACATGAATAAATAATTTTCCATCTTCATAACTTTGTGGATTTTCTATCCACATACGTTAGCGGTGTAAAATGTGAGTAATGTAAATTTTGCCGGTCACTGGTGTGTTTGGTACAAACTTATTGTTCCATCTAGGTTTCAGTAAGACCAAACCCACAGGCTCATTATATAAAAGTACAAAACAGTGTATATGGTCTTTGATTTCTACAGCGCATGGAACTCTAGCGTGACGACAAATGACCGTCTTTCTTTATTCATTTAAATAATATCCAGCTCTGTTTTTTTTTCTTTTTTTTTCAAAAATAATCTTCGTTGCGTTAATTAACTTAAAATTTGCTTGTAACTTGAGGTTGAAGTCTGAACTACTTCGTAACAGAAATATTCAATACGTGTCTGCCTACAAATTCCTCTGTCATCTAACCACGCAACATAACGCATCTAACAAGTTTTTAAATAAAAACAATAGTTTAAAAAAATTAACACAATACGCATTTATAAAAAATCCAACAAAAAAATTGAAAATAAATTTTAATAAATTTGAATTAAAAATAGTGTAAGAATAAATGATATTATTGAAAAAAAGCGTGGAGTGCATGTATAAGTAGTTATAAAACTTTTATGAACAGATATGAGTAGAAGGATTATTTTGATAATATCCTGAAAAGAACCCAACGCTTTTTTACAATAAAATCATTTTTTCTTACACTATTTTTAATTCAAATTTATCAAAATATATTTTCAATTTTTTGGTTGGGTTTTCTATAAAAGCGTATTTTGTTTGTTTTTTTAAACTTTTATTTATTATTCATTTTTTAGTTGAATTTCAATTTTTGAATTATTTTTTATATTGAATTGTCATCGGTCCTTAATAAGTATGTATACCAAATGTCGAGTTAATCCGACGTTTTGAAGGGGGTCAAAATCATGTTAAAAGATTCTGTTACAAACATACATACATACGTCTGAAGCTAATAAAAGCGTTTTAAAAAGATTTACTTACTTTAATATTCCCTAGTGAGGTGTGTCGTCAACCCTTTTGTTCTTCTTGGTTCTTCGTTGTTTTTCTTGTTCCTTTTAACTTCTGTATCAAATTTCAAAATGTTTTTAGCCGTATATTTAGACGAACAGATTGTTCATTTCAAAGATCCTGAGCCGATGTGCCGAAAAATGTATATTAGTGAAAACTTTGAAGATCGTCCGATGCTAATATCCCGTTGGGCGAAAACCCTAATGCCAGTATTGCCCGGAAGCGCGATGTTACAAGCGCTCGTGAGCAACCAGGTCCGGCTGAATTGTTTATGTCCGTGCTTCGTTCATTGCACGTACGACGGGACGAGATGAATTCGCAACTAGCCTCATTAACATATCGTCTTTTCGCATTAAAAGTGTAGAATTTCCAAAAATATTCGATCTTGAGTAAATATGCGAAATAATTTGGTATCACTAGTATTTTTCTCATAAATACTGTCAAGAGAGCGTAGTTTAGATTTAGTTTCTTTTTTTTTAGTTTAGCTATGTTTTGACTACTGTTAACAAAATTAATACATAATTTTATCTTACTTTAAAAGACAGATAATGTAAGTGGTAAAAAAAATGTTACAAAGATGATTAATATTAAAAATATCACATGTTAAACCTTTAAAACACTCTCCTGTAAAGTTTTGAGATTATACAGTTTTAACGCGAGAAGACGATATGTTTTATTAACATCGTAATCTAGATTGCCGGTTTCAAGATATGGATGTAAATACGTTATTCACAAAGCCGCCTTCGTCTGGGGAAATAAAGGCTTATGAAACTTTGAATGTGCTTAAGCATTTTGGCTCGGCGACCGTGCATATAGTCGAATCTGATGCTAATCGTTGTATAGTCGAAATATAGTTGAAATAGTCGCTGTTATATCTTGAAATTCAACATCACTCGGCGATATAAATTAGATGACATGATACCTACTATCGCATCCGTCATGTATAACACGTACCATCCGTGAAGTCGTCGTGGCCTAAAGGATAAGACGTCCGTATATAGCGATGCAACGGTGTTCGAATCCCGCAGGCGGGTACCAATTTTTCTAATGAAATACGTACTTAGCAAATGTTCACGATTGACTTCCACGGTGAAGGAATAACATAGTGCAATAAAAATCAAACCCGCAAAATTATAATTTGCGTAATTACTGGTGGTAGGACTTCTTGTGAGTCCGCACGGGTAGGTATCACCACCCCGCCTATTTCTGTCGTGAAGCAGTAATGCGTTTCGGTTTGAAGGGTGCGGCAGTCGTTGTAACTATACTGAGGCCTTAGAATTTTTATCTCAAGGTGAGTGGCGCATTTATGTTGTAGATGTCTACTGGGATCCAGTAACCAATTAACACCAAGTGAGCTGTGAGCTCGTCCACCCATCTAAGCAATAAAAAAAATTAAAAATAATCCTAAAACGAAATTCCAAACAAAAACGTACGCAAAATGAAAAAAGAAAAAACATTAAATTCACACTACACGAAGCTTTCTTTAAAAACTTGAATATGAGAAAAAAGCTGCAGAAATAATTTTTCGTTGGAAATATTCCTTTGACTGTGCAAATATTAAAAAGTGGGTGCGAAAGAAAAAAAAAAAACAAATTCTCAACGGAGTGCCAGACGCCGACAAAGGCGTATTCGGAAACCGGTTCAATTCGGTTATTGTTAGAATAAGCTGGATATAACCCGTTATGCTTATGACGGAAAAGTCTGAGATAGTCAGAAATATTTGGAAAACGTAGGAAGCTTCTTAGAATAAAACTGATGTTTTTTTTACAAAAAAAAGACAAACAGGCTTAGATAGGCTCTTGAGAAGCAATAAATGTAATTTGCACATTGGCTTTGGCTAACACTTACTATGCTAAACCGCGGTAAAGGAATCTGTTCACCTAAGTTTGTAAAATTAACGCCATCAATAGTTTAAAAGCGACAAGAAAATACATTTTAACTGGTGGTAGGACCTCTTGAGGGTCCACGCGGGTAGGTACCACCATCCTACTTATTTCTGCCGTGAAGCAGTAATGCGTTTCGGTTTGAAGGGTGGGGCAACCGTTATAACTATATTGAGACCTTAAAACTTATATCTCAAGGTGGGTGGCGCATTTACGTAGTAGATATCTATGGGCTCTAGTAACCACTTAACACCAGGTGGGCTGTGAGCTCGTCCACCCATCTAAGCAAAAAAAAAAAAAACAAGAACATAGCCTAATTGCATAACCCCTTTTTCGTAGCCGTTAAAAATAAAACGTTAACGTAAAAATGCAAACCAATAATGATAATAAAAAAAATAATTGTCTAATTAACTGTTTGCAAATCGTTTTGCGAATAATTTACACGCATCAAATGATACTGAGGTCGATGCACTGCAATCGAAACGAATGTCGCAGTCAAGTTGAAAATATAGCGTTTCTGACGAAAAACGGTAACTCTAACGTATTTCAAACATCGAATGCAAAAAAAGGTAAATAATTATTTAACGGTAGATTAAAACGTAAAAGTTGTCTTAACTACGTACACGAGTCGCAAAAATCGAAAATATAATCTCGTAATCAATGTTTTTATCAAGTCACATTGTCAGACATTCAAACTTAAAAAAAATTCCTAAGCATCATAGGAATCACATAGACAGAACTTTATTACATAGAATTAAATCTAATAACTTTTACAGAATTTCGTAATAACTTGTTTTCACCGCGAAAGAGTTCTGTTTTTTGGTTTGAAGGATGGGCCTATGGCTAAGCTAATTACCAATAAAATTAAGACTAAGACCTCATTGCTTAAAGTTAAAATTCATGCTGTGATATCACGTTGGGATTCAGGAGCTACAAGGTAGACATGTAACCATGTGATGGTCGAATTAAAAAAACTACACACCTTTAAACTAAAAAAAGGTCACATTAGCAAACATCGTTTCCTCACTTGTGCTTTTTGATATAAATAAATGAATAATGTCGAACAGACATTTTCAAATTACTCAAACTTGGAACATTGTCTGCAACATCTAACGCGTGTGCTCAATGAGCGAACATATTTCGGCAGTTTCCAAGTAAATTCGTAGGGATTAATAATAACTGGTTTATAATTATTGTGTTTACATAAAATCAGTTTAAAAACGAGGTTAAATTAAACCACTATAAATATTATGAAATGGTTTTTATTTTATTAAACTTTTAGATTAATTATAATAATAGAAAAATCATCTTATCAATCGTGTTTGAAGACAATGATAGCTGATCGGAGAAATTTGGCCTTAAGAAAAGGAGAAGGAAGAAAAGGAGAAAAGAAGTTTATCTTCTTAAATAAATAGCATCTATCGATTAATTTCATTGATTTCTATGAAAGTAGATGATAATGTGAGAAGGGAGCGTCCTCAAATGGACTTTGTGAAAGAGGATATGCAAGAGATCCACGCTCTGGATACAAAGATGACGTATGATAGGCTTGAATGGAAAAAGATATGGAAGAATAAGTGCAAATAGAAGCAGCAGTATCCATTTATGTCATTAAAACTAAATATAATTTAAGGTTTCATTAATAACATAACATAAAAACAAACCAAGAAACTGCTAGACAAATAAGTACATAAAAAGGATATCAATAATATTCGATCATGAAACGATATAATTGTGTACCAATTTAACGTGCTTCAAACGCGATAATGAATTAATCATTATAACAATTTTAATACAAATATCTACACCGGTAACTGTAATAAAGCATTCGATATACTGTAATTAATGGTTGATTAAAACTAATTTTGCTACGGCTAATTCGGTCCACGGACCATCGTCCGCGATCATGAAAACTGTGAGGTATTAATCGAAGTAGTAGTGGAAATTCGACTATTTACTGGTGGTAGGACCTCTTGCGACTCCGGACGAGTAGGTACCACCGCCCAGCCTATTTCTGCCGTGAAGCAGTAATGCGTTTTAATTTGAAGGGCGGAGCAGCAATTGTACTGTTAAAAGTGAGACCTTACAACTTGTGTCTCAAGGCGCGTGGCAGCATTTACGTTGTTAATCTCTATGGACTCTAGTGACTAGTAACTGGCAAGTGAACCGTGACCACCTCTACAAATTATATTATTGGCAATTAAAAAAAAGTTTCCGGAAGAAACAAGATAATGCATTGAAATTGGAATTAAACTAAGTGCCGTCCGCCTTAAACCACGGAAGTCGAGAACATTCCTTAATGCACTGTTACAGGATATTTAATAAGGAAATTATTTCTGAATCCGAACAATTATAATGTACCTCAAAATTATGAACCAACCATTTATTTCATCATAATCATCATCTCAACCTATAGCTCTACTGAACATAGGTCTCTCCAATAGATGTCCAGCGCAAGTCCGTTGTCACCTGCAACGCTTTTTAAATTTAATACCGTTTATTTGAAACCAATACACTTCTCGATTGGAGAAGTGCAGCGCAAAGAACCTTTATAAAATATTAGCTGAGTCTCGCAATGCTACCCGCGGTTATTGTCGTACCGAGGGTGACGCCGTGGGGCAAAACTAGTCAAAAAAAAGTGGCCTAATTTACTCCTTATATCATCAGAGCTACCTATCAGTGAAAGTCCCGTCAAAATCGGTCCAGCCATTCCAGAGATTAACCGGAACAAACAGACAGACAGACAAAAATTAAAAAAAAAATTATTTTGGTGTATACATATTTATACATACATAAATAATTTCATAAAAAGTGGTTATTTTATTATTACAAACAGACACTCCAATTTTATATATTTATATAGATATTTCGATAGGGTTTCAGGAACCTTTTATATTTAATACTCCAAAACACTGAATTCCTTGGAAATAATCATCGTAAAAAACGATAATTGGATTCAAATCATCAAATGTTCATCGACCTGTCAAAATATGACTCGTTATATAAATATAAAAGATTTTTTTTCTCATCATTCCCTAGGCATTGTATCATAATAATGTGCGTTACAAACGATTCAATAAAGAAATCTAAGTGTTCTTAATTCGGCAAGGATATGCAAAGGAAATAATTAAGCAACAGTAACACATCCGGTCAGTTCGGGATGCGTGCCTAGCGTACTATAAATACAATGTTTTACAACATAGTTTTACACTTCGTCTGAAGACAATCATCCAACATGAACTCCTTCATTACTGTGAGTTTCTTTATTAATTAATTAATTTCTACATATTATTCTATGATATCTTAATTTTTTTTTTTTTTTTTTGGAATAATTGTTTATTATAATTATAGTCATGTCAATAATCTTAACAGATCAAAATAATTTAACATAAATCAATTGATACAGTTGAACAAATTTTCCAATGCGCTCGAAGGAGGTACAGTTCCCAAGATACTGGCTGTGTAACCTCGTTGGACAGCCAGACTCACTCTCTGTGCAAAGTACCAGCCAGCCTTAGTATCACGTGTAGCTTCCTTCAAGCGTTTGGAGATTTCTGATAAATTAATTAAATTCTGATAAATTTCTTATAAATAAATTAAAGAAATTTATAATATACATTTTTACTTATTATGAAATTCAAGCTCCGTGTGTATATTGTGATTTTTGAAAATTTAAATCGAAAATTTCTTCAAAAATTTTGTTCGTTTCATTTTTTAAATAGCATTCCAGTAAAGCTGCATATTTAAAAAATAAAATAATATCTGAAAATGAGATTAAGTTTGGTATCATGATTTTTTTTTATTGCTTAGATTGGTGGACGAGCTCACAGCCCACCTGGTGTTAAGTGGTTACTGGAGCCCATAGACATCCACAACGTAAATGCGCCACCCACCTTGAGATACAAGTTCTAAGGTCTCAAGTATAGTTACAACGGCTGCCCCACCCTTCAAACCGAAACGCATTACTGCTTCACGGCAGAAATAGGCAGGGTGGTGATACCCACCCGCGCGGACTTACAAGATTTCCTACCACCAGTAAAATTTAGAGCAATTTCAATTAATCGCAAAATAGTTTAACGAAAATTAGCTTGAAATAAATTTTGCAAGCACGCAATGTAACACAATTAAAAATAGTTGACGCACGGGGTCAATGACTTCGTTGCCGCAAGAGGGACGCTACGGAAGGCTAACTTTAACGGAAGCTCTTGTACTCTGAGCTCTGAACTCCCTAAGGCGATTAATTAGCGCAACAATTTAATATTATATTTCATAATATATATTCCCATTCTTTAGGAGTTCCCTCTGATCTTCTAAATTGTATTTAAATATATATTATTACGTGAAGCAAAAACTTTGTACCCCTCTTTACGAAAATTGAGCGGACGGAGTCATATGAAAATTCTCGCACTTATAGAGAATATAGAGAAGAAGTATAGAATGTTAATATTTTTTTATAATTATGCATAAAAATAATATTAAATCAAAAAAAAAAACATTACACACACTACCATTTATTTGACACTATATATAAATACATACTCTTTTTTTATTTCAAACTTTTGATATTGTTTTAAAGTCTGTGATCAAATTGATAATAGATAAATATTGTTTGTCTTTAATATTATCTATCTTTAGTGTAGTCTTGACGAAATCTGGGGTTCTGTTAAGAAGTATAATACTCTTTGAAAATAGAGCCATAATAATGTTCAAACTTATAATTTCCATTAATTATAGTCGAATTTCGACTACTGCGGGACTACTAGACTAAACTAGTTTGGTCCTATTGGTTTAAGTAAATTTACATTTTAATATTCAGTTGACCTGCCTATTGGCGGTGGTGGGTCTTAGCTGTGGCAGCGCCATCGGTCTCGGCTATGGATACGGTAAATATCTTCATATTTTCATCATTTTTCTTTCATCGTCCTTGACTTTGTCAATTTGATAGAGAGAATTTGGATTCAAATTGTTTATCTGGATTATTTATGGAATTTGCTTTAGCATTATTCCATACCATTAATCTTAATATTACTAGCAAAGCAAAACTTGTCTGAATCAAAACTGCAGTCATTTTTCAAGACTGGCCAACACTTTAAAAATTTAAGTAAGTACTCTAAATAGTAGACGAGTTTGCAACTCACTTTATACGAAATGTAAACCGATGTCCATAGACATCACAACACGAGTGTAAGTTATTGGTTAAAGTCTCAATTTCATTTATAACCGTTATCCCGCCCTTTAAGTTGAAAATACATTTTTTTATTGCTTAGGAGGGTGGACGAGCTCACGACCTACCTGATTCTAAGTGGTTACCGAAATCCATAGACATCTACAACGTAAATGCGCCACCCACCTTGAGATATAAGTTCTAAGGTCTCAAGTATACTTACAACGGCTGCCCCACCCTTCAAACCGATACGCATTACTACTTCACGGCAAAAATAGGCAGGACGGTGGCACCTACTCGTGAGGACTCACAAGAGGTCCTACCACCAATAACATGACTAATTCTTGACAGAACTAGCCAATGTATACAACCTTACTTCTTTCAGCCGATCTACCTAAAATCTTTGCAAAAGTACATGTAATATATTTGCTTATTTACAGGTTATGGGGCACCTATCCTTGCGCCAGCGATATCCACGGCCAATCTCGTTAAGGCAGCACCGATTCCGATCATCAGAACTGCGGTAGCACCCATAATCACAGCGCCCGTCATCAAAACCGTGGCACCAGTGAGCATCGGATATGGCCTCGGCAGCTACGGCTGGGGCGGACACAGCTTGGGTGGCTACGGCTGGGGCGGACACAGCCTGGGTGGATACGGCCTGGGTGGCTACGGATTGGGCGGTCATGGTCTAGGTGGATACGGCCTGGCCAGAGCTTACGGCGGTTGGGGCAGCGGTCTCGGTAACTGGGGCTGGTCTAAGCATTGATTTGACGAAGTGCTTCCTACTGAAATTAAAATTTTGTCTTCTTTAATTGGCTGATGCACTAAATAAAGACCATTCACACTAAATCGTATCTTTTTTTGGAAGTTTCCTGTTTGAATTTCCTGATTACTACCGTCCTGTCTATTTCTATCGCGAAACAGTAATTTTGTCCGGTTTCAGTTCGTTGTATTATTGAACTGGGACTTAGAACTCATGTCTCAAGGTGGGTTTTATTATATTTACGTTGATGATGTTCATGAGCTCCGGTAACCGTTTATCACCAGATAGGCTGTGAGCTCGTCCTCTCATCTAGGCAACAAAAAAATGCTACAATCGCTTAAATACATCTAATAACAACAACAGCCTTACCAACAGCTAATGTTACCAATGAGGTCACAGACATTAGAATAATATATATAACTATTTATATTTTTTTATTGCCCTTGTAAGCAGACGAGCATACGGCCCACCTGATGGTGAGTGGCTACCGTCGCCCATGGACTTTAGCAATGCCAGGTGCAGAGCTAAGCCGCTGCCTACCTTGAGTACTCTCCACAAGCCTAAGTATAAAATAAATTCCTAAATTGTAACTACAAATATATTACACGTTCCAAATTAAAATTCTAAAACAACTGTTCTTTTATTGACTTGCGTACGCTGATGAGCTTACAGCCCATCTGATACTAACAGACTATCGGAGCTGATAGATTCAACGTTTTTTTTTTTATTGCTTAGATGTGTGGACGAGCTCACAGCCCACCTGGTGTTAAGTGGTTACTGGAGCCCATAGACATCCACAACGTAAATGCGCCACACACCTTGAGATATAAGTTCTAAGGTCTCAGTATAGTTACAACGGCTGCCCCACCTTTCAAACCGAAACGCATTACTGCTTCACGGCAGAAACAGGAGGGGCGGTGGTACCTACCTGTGCGGACTCACAAGAGGTCCTACCACCAGTAATTACGCAAATTATAATTTTGCGGGTTTGATTTTTATTACACGATGTTATTCCTTCACCGAGGAAGTCAATCGTGAACATTTGTTAAGTACGTATTTCATTACAAAAATTGGTACCCGCCTGCGGGATTCGAACACCGGTGCATCGCTAGATACGTAGCATGCACCGGACGTCTTATCCTTTAGGCCACGACGACTTCTAAATTACGTAATTTGTGAAGCCCACTTTGAAACAGGAGGTCGAATTTGTATTGTATTAAATCCGTTCGCATAAAGCTAAACCACACTCTTTTCATACGTTCCATTCTTACCAATCCACATATGTGGGTAGATCGGTATTTATAGTTAGTTCACACTGGCACAATACATTTGTTTTAAAAGGTCAACGAATGTCAACGTCAGTCATCGATTGAGATTGCCGTATTACGAATGTTTTTTTTTTTAAAGATTTTGGTGTTAATCTTAAAATCCACTATATAATCATATTATTTGTCGAAAACGGTCATTAGTTTGATAACAAAACGCAGCACGATTCCTGAGAGGTAATAACACGATCGTAATGTCGTCGGAGCTCGGCTAACTTCGCCTAGCAGACCCTAGCCGATGGAGCATAGACGCCATTTCACTTACCAACCAGCCTTCTTGAAAAGCGGTGCCTTCATCCTAAGAACTGTCATTCGTTTTCGTTTGCTAACGTCAAGAGGAGATTTCTTATTTGTTCTAAGACAACAAACGTGTTTTGTGTACTCAATATTTCTCTTAACTCGATCACCCTCTTCGCCCTCTGTGATGTCTGACGTTGGTCTTAATAATGCGGTTTCTCCAACATATACATTTATAAAGAACTAGCGGCCCACTCCGGCTACGCTCGGGTCTTTAACAAAAATTTCAACGATATTTGACGTCGTTTTAATTTTTTAAATAAAAGAACACTTATTGCGGCATAACTATAATAGTTAGACATATGCTGTCGCGACACTTTTTGTAAATAATAATGTGTTCTACAAAGTCGTAGTACATTATTTTATTCTATCAACAATAGTTTTCGCAGCGCACGCGATGTAAAGAATATTTTAGGTAATTTTTTTTACACCTTGTTTTACATTATTGGAGTTTTAGTAAGGAACCCAAATTTTTTTCAAAAAAGTTTATAGCCTATGTCACACGGAAATAGTGTAGCTTCCAAACAGTGAAAAAATTTTTCAAATCGGTGCAGTAGTTTCGGAGCCTATTCAATACAAACAAACAAACAAACAAATCTTTCTTCTTTATAATATTAGTATAGATAAGCAGTAAACACACCACCCCTTCCAGAAGTCATCGAAATTAGGTCAGATAAAAATCTAAACAAAAAACAGCAACCTAATCTCAAGTACGTAGCGTAAATAAAAACAAGAAAAGCTTAAGCAATATATTAAAATAGTATAGTTAAGTTCAATAGAACAATAGGAACGTAATTATTTTCGGTGCACAAGCTGCGGTGAGCTGGCGGCAACGTTTCCACAATACAAATGTTCTCCGCTAAAAGTATTCCCTTCAATTTAGTACCAAACTTTCTCTATCCAATTTCGTCAGGACGTAAAGTTTTCCATTCGTATTTCTTAAATTGCTGCAACTCGCTTTAAGGATTTGCGTAAAATGAGAGCAAGGATTACTGGGAATTTTGCGAAATTGTTAACATAATTAAATCATTTAGGAAATACAGTAGCAGTATACTGGTACATAAAGACAGAAATCAAAGTTTGGGTGTATGTTTTTCGTAAATGCGTTTTTAGACGTTTTATTAGGATGCGTTGAAAATTGGCACAGCTATTACGAGAGGTATCTTACGAATATTTTCAACAAAGATATAGACGTGATTAGATTTCATTAGAACTAAATAAAACTGTGATAAAATTATACTCGGGAGATTATACAGTGATAAAGTTAATGCTAATACTAATAGACAAATTGTGTGAGCATCGCTCTGTAAAGCCTTGTTCGGACTAGGCGAGTATTTTAGTCAAGTACCGAGTAATTTAGTAGCTAAATGTGTCTGAGCACCAAAAATTTAGTCAAGTAGGTCAGTAAATAATTTAGTCAAGTCAATCCATTTTTTTCTATTTTTTCGGGCGGGTAGCGAGTAGTTTAGCCACTAAATTACTCGGTACTCTACTAAAATACTCGCCTAGTCCGAACAAGGCTTATGCGCAACTAAATGTGTTTCTGTGAAACTACATACATCTGTGACTCCGAAAATCTACACGAGTGGTCGTCACACTTTTCTGGTCAAGGGCCACATAGGACAATGTGTATCATTGCGGGCCACACATTTTTGGACAGTTTAGTTGACCACCAGACAATTGACATATTTAATATTATCTATACTAATATATAAATCTACAGTGGTTTTTACGGATGTTCCGCTATAACTACTGAACCATGCATCCGATTGACTTGAAACTTGGTATCCATGTAGAAAATACATGCATTTAATAGATTAGGCTAATATTTATATGAGCGTTGCACTCCCTACACCAGTTGCGGGGGCGTTAATGATGAGAATCTTTGTGGGGGTGAGAAATAATAATGTTAATTTGAAATGCCCAGCGAAGCGGACGGGTACAGCTAGTTATTAATAATATTATTGTATTTTAATATTATATACAATTGTATACATTATATACATATATACAAATATAATATTGTGTATTATTACGAGATGAATGAATTGAATATTTGACAATTAAAATTTCACCAATCACCTATGTCCATTTTCTTGCTGGAATAAATGAAAGTGACAGACTTAGTTATATTAGTTTTAGCGTGTTTTTATTGGAAATTGAGCCCATTATCTACTAAAATTAAACAAGCATCAATTAAACATCAAAATCATACATCGTCTACGGGCCGCAGTTTGGCTACCACCGATCTATACTGTATTTTTCTAAATAAAGTGATCCAGTCAGTACATACGGAATTTTGTGTGTGAAAAAACTTTTATTTGCTAAGTCGTGATAAATACAAATAGGTTGCAGCGTATCAGTTAATAGCGACTAATAGAATAGTGTTTTTATTTGTTTATTGCATAGATGGGTGGACGAGCTCACAGCCCACCTGGTGTTAAGTGGTTACAGGAGCCCATTAACATTTACAACGTAAATACCGCCACCCAACTTGAAATATGAGTTCTAAGGTCTCAGAATTCCACGCGGACGAAGTCGCGGGCAAAAGCTAGCGTTCTATATAGTGACATATTAGTTCATCATTCATGTCGTTCAAAATTAAACTCAACGTGAAACTAATTACGGCTCAAGGTGACCGAACTTGTTTGAAACCCATTTAACTTTACTAAGTTCTGCCAAGTTCGCGCGAATCGCTAACAGACACTGACGCTTAAGGGAAATGTAACGTTATAATGATATAATGCCCTGAGCGGTCGCTTTAAGATACAAGATAATAAGATAAGACACATAGTGAAACCATAAAAAATAATTATGTTTTTTACAAATTTTCAGCAACTTTCTTCTATCAAATCTCTTGATAAACCATACATAATTTTTCCAAGGACCAATGTTTGAATAAATGTTCTGAAAATGGACAGAGTAGAGTAAGTAAGCTTTATTGTACACCAGTATGAGAAACATCAAACACAAAATGTATATTGGACGATCTTATTGCTAAGGGCGCCCTCGTCCAGGCAGCGATCAGATGGATAAGATTCGTCTAAGGAAAAATATTGATTGCGGCCTATTTAAAGTTTGAAAAAAAGGAAATGACAATATTAGACACTGCTAGAAGTCCAATTTCTAAGTAGAAGCGTTTACTTGTTCCCATTCAGAGCCTTCTTGTGTCCACACAGATAATTTTAGAAAGTTTTTTATTTATTTAATAAAAGTCTGGTCAAATTGAGATAAGATTATTATTGTTTGTCTTTAATATATTTAATTTGTCTATAGTGTAGTCTTAGCGAAATCTGCGATTATAGATGTATAATAGCCTGAAAATAGAACAATAATAATGTTCAAACTTATAATTTTAGTTAATTATAGTCGAATTTCGACTACTAGGGGACCACTAGTACCTACAATTAACATCTCAGTACAAATAAAAAGGCATAAA